GCCTTCATGGATTATCATCTTCTTGGATTCTATTAAACTCGTGTAGATGACCTTCTTCTTCGTGTGTCTTTCCTCTACACGTTGCGTGACAACTAGCATTACAATAATAAAAAATGTTTTGTCAGTTTTGAATTTGAAATGTTATTTCACAAATAAAATTAAGATGTGAAATGTTGATTTTTCTACCTCATTTTTGTGTTCTGTAAATCCTGTTTGTACACAGATGCTTGCAACTTCAAATGTCACTTCAGAAGGATGGTGGTAATTTTGATAATTTAATCCTTGTGTATAAACTTTTTATTTAAGATGATTGTATTACAACCATCCCCAGTTTCCCATAGAAGAAAATGAGGAAATACATAATATACAAGATAAACAGATTACAAAGCAAAAGTTTGCATGATGTATGCATGTCAGACCACATCTGATGACACAGTGATACGTGCACATACTCGTACTCTGTGAAAAAAGCAATACAATTAATAATTCAGATTATTTCTTTTAAATTATTCTGGCCCTTCACTACCCGTGGGCTGTCTGAATCACATTACTTGACCACATTCATTTTATTTAAGAGACCATAACCTCCTTTTGAAGCACTGATGTCTGAAAGGTGTAATCAATATATAAATAAATATATAAGGCTTCCTGACACCTGCTTTCAAGACTTGGACCAATCTTTCACTTTCACTTTCATAAAATATTGGTGAAACAGTCCAAGAATTGTTCGTTACTCTGTCTGTGTTCAGAGGTGCCCTTTTAGGATTTCTGACATTTCCAAGGGGGGGTTGAATATCAATAGACACAGACGTCAAAAAAAAATTATCATGTGCGTCATGCATAAGTTCATGTGTATGTGCTTTTTTTAAACAAAGACAAAATATTTTTCTCAGACTAGCTATACATTTTTGTAAATCCTTTTTGTTTTTGTTTCCTTAACATTTACAAATGTACACGCATAAAAAATATTTAGAAATCCAGGTTTACAAATTCAGATATTTAAACCTAGTGCTAAAAACTGTGTGTGGGTATAGGATGCAAATGTGCTTACATTCTGGGTAATTGGTTTGCTTATATAGGCAATAAATAATATTAACAAAGTGCATTATCTTCATAATAAAATGAGATAATACAGTGAAAATTAGTGATGTTATCATCCAAAATGTCATACATTTATCCTTTAGTGTCAGTCAAATTACTTAAGATGGATATTATAAATTTTGTGCAAGAACTTATTGAGGTAATCAGATTTATTTTGTTCAAAATATTTTTATAAGATTTTTATCCAATTACAGAGGCTTGTCAACATGCCAGTCAATATAAAGCAGTCTCTAGCTTACCTGTAAATCTTATGTCAGTTTGCTTTGCACAATACCACCTGTCACATTGCTTGATTTGGGGCTACTGATAAATTCCATTATTTGCTAAAAAAATTTTTTTTTGACAAAATACATGTTTATTTCCTTGGAGAGAAATTCTAGCGGTTACATTTTCAGTAATGCAGCAAAAAAGGCATACCAACAGATATATCTACATTGCTCTCGTTTGCTGCAAATAAATGAAATAACTGAAATAAAGGGATGTGCAAAAATTGTACGTTTAGGGGTACAAAAGCTTGTCACTGGAGCAGTACCCTCAAAGGGACACATTTGTACCTTATTTAAAGAGTTCATAATGGTACCATAAGAGTACATATTGGTACCTTAAGTGTAAATCTTACTATTCTAAGGTATTAATATGCACCCTTTAGTGGTAAAGAAGGTACAAAGATGTTCCTTTGAGGGTACTGCTCCTATGACAAGCTGTTGTACCCGTAAATGTTACATATTTGCACTTTTAAAGACCCACATAAACATCCCAGTCCTCTTCACGTAACCTTATTTATCTTTCAACATTTCCCATCATGATGTCATTTCTAGCTATTTTAAACATGTAGATGAAAAACTGATGCAAAGTAGGCCCTTCATTACCAAACACCAAGTAACTAAATTAGTATACAATTAGGAGCCATTTGCAAAGTGTTAAAGATTAAACTGTTGGGTTACTTTAAAACCAACCTTCTTCTGGGTGATCACAGGGATATGTGAATATTTGATCTGTTAACTGGTTGCATATGTCAGATTTATTGCATGACTCTGGCAGAGAAAAGCTGTTGCTATCAAACATTGTTTACTTAATCAACTGAGTCAGTGTAATGGTGAAGGGATAGATCAAATAGGCCAATTGATGGAAGGTTTGCAAATAAATGTCATGCTCCCTTGTAAAATAATTTTTTTGTATTTTTAAACTACAAAAATTACTACTAAATAAGTTTATTTTGATACTTGGTGTGGTTGCTGTGTTTTGAAGTTTATTTTGATATACTTAAAATTAAGGTATTTGGTATTTTATTTTAAAATACATTTTGATGTATCTTTGTCCAACCCTGCAGGCATGTAGGCCTACATCCAAAAAGCCACACTGACCACATTACACAGTATTAAACTGGTATAAATATATAATGCAGAAGAAACACTGAGAAAGAAAGAAAACAAGCAAAACAAAAATCTATCGTAAAGCAGAGATAAACTATAAAGACCAAAATAAAAATCATAGAAATGATGAACAAACAAAAATAAATACATAAACAAATAAAGACAAAAAACAGCAGTGCAGCTCAAGTCCGAAACCATATACAGAACCAGCTTATATCATAAATCAGTCTTTCTCAAATCTCTACCTGAAGTACGCTTAACAGTACACATTTTGGATGATTGCTTCTCAATCAGATGGTTGCATCCTAGCAATGCATCCTTCCTTGTCCAGTCCTTCTGATGCTTCTAAGCTAGACTCCTTCTCAGCATTGAATGCTAAAATTAGGGTGACCATAAGTTCTCTTTTCCCTGGATATGTCCTATATAGCTGGGATTTCTAAATTCCCTAAAATGTCTGTGTTTTGTCTTTGATGTAGGTGTATTTGCATTGCTTTTCATTCTATGTAGATTCCACCTAATAGCATGCCACAATTGGTGCATAATGTACAATGCCTGTATGCTAAACTACTTTTCTGTTATTACCTTCAGCAAGTATAAAAGCAACAGGAAAACAAAGGCAAAACCCAGACATTTTAAGCAATTTAGAAAAAGAGGTCTTACGGTCACCCGAACTAGAATGACACAAGCAAGTCTCACTGGAAAATGCTCTGTGGTCTCCTAGTGATTTACATCATTAGAAGTTTAGCATTATGTGATTCATTTACATCACAACAAAAGAAAACAATGCCTCCATCACCAAAAACAATTTTTTTTATTATTTTAATATTTTTTTAATGGCAGCCAAGACATACAGCCTTACTAGGACTCAATCTTCCAATTAAGAAACATCTGATGTCTCTTTTATCTGACACACCCATTTCAGTCTCTATGAACAATGTAATGAGTTGAATCAGGTGTGTTTGTAGGGGGCGGGGTTGTCCAATCCTGGTCAATGTCCCACAGAGTTTAATGCCAACCTGCCAAAACAGACCTGCCTGAAAATTTCTAGTTATCCTGACGAGGATTATTTGATTCAGGTAGTATTTCATCACTCTTCTGACTTGTAGTTGTCACACTGCAAAGTAGTATCAGAGTCTAGTGTGAGAAATTCCTCCATTAAAAACATTGTTCTTAGTGAGTCTAGACACCAGAGTTAATTTTGACTAATTTTGACTAAAACAACTTTTGATTTAGTTTTAGTCATAGTCTTTTGACTAAAATGCCATTTAGTTTTAGTCATATTTTAGTCATCTGAATTGTTTTTAGTTTTAGTCTAGTTTTAGTTGACTAAATATCATAAGATTTTAGTCGAATAAATCTACTGTAAATTTAGTCGGCTAAAATTTAATGGGTTTAGTTACAGTGCATTTATTAAGCATTTCTCTAAAATTTCCAAACTCATTATACAGGTTTGATATTAAGGTTTTATCATGATTTAACTGCAGTGACACACAACATGCCTTTATGTTAAAATTAAAGGGGTCATATGATGTTGCTAAAAATAACATTATTTGGTGTATTTGGTGTAATGCAATGTGTTTATGTGGTTTAAGGTTAAAAAAACACATTATTTTCGACATAATGTACATTATTGTTTCTCCTCTATGCCCCGCCTTTCTGAAATGTGTCGATTTTTACAAAGCTCATCTGTCTGAAAAGCGAGGTGTTCTCTGATTGGCCAGCTATCCAGGGCTTTGTGATTGGCTGAATACCTCAAGCGTGTGACGGAAATGTTACGCCCCTTACCATACTGTGTTTCCATGTGTCCCGGCGCGACGAGACAAAACCAATAAAACCCATTACAAACGAGGCATTTGTTTCATCCAGTCGGGACATAATTACTGATTATAATGACTTCTACTGTGTTTTTACGTTTTGCGTTGCGCATTGCGCCGCATAAACATAAAACCATGTCTTCATTTGTGATCGGAGAAATGACAAACAACAAGCGCTACTCTACACTGCTCAAACTCGCGTTTGAATCATCAGTGGCAAATTCTTTAAATATAAAAAACGTTGTGATTGGCTGAATACCTCAAGCGTGTGACGGAAATGTTACGCCCCTTACCATACTGTGTTTCCATGTGTCCCGGCGCGACGAGACAAAACCAATAAAACCCATTACAAACGAGGCATTTGTTTCATCCAGTCGGGACATAATTACTGATTATAATGACTTATACTGTGTTTTTACGTTTTGCGTTGTGCATTGCGCCGCATAAACATAAAACCATGTCTTCATTTGTGATCGGAGAAATGACAAACAACAAGCGCTACTCTACACTGCTCAAACTCGCGTTTGAATCATCAGTGGCAAATTCTTTAAATATAAAAAACGTACTTACAGGCTGTGAGTCAGAAGCACCAGACTGTCCTTGCAAAGTTGGAACTGCCCCACTTTATAGAAAAATTATGTCCTCTTTTGGAAGGCCAAACAAACTAGTTTCACTTTCACAACGAAGCACACAACTGCTTAAGTGAGTGGCGCCCGGCGGATTCGACGACGGAGGCTTGCGCAACCACATGTGATGACCCCTGATGTATTGATGTATTTCCTCAGAGACCAGCATGGATCAGCTCTAGGCATGACAAAGTGGATATCATTCTTATTTGGAAGGCCAAACTAAGTAGTTTCACTTTCACAATGAAACACACAGCATCTCCACAACATGGCGGTGGTGGCAACAATACTACAGCGAGAATAAAAGTTATGCCTTCTTTCTTTGCGTGAACATTTGGGTGGCGTTATGCAAATCTTCCCACACAGTGACGTAGATATGTGGGGGCGTGTTTAAACAAGGCATTTTAGGAGGGCGTGGACAAGTCTTAACTTTTATAAAGAATATCTCTTTGGATTTGAGACTTTAGTCTTTGCAACTTTACAGATCTTCTTTATGCACCAAGAGCTTGTAACACTCCAAAGAGAGAGAAAAAATTGAAATCGCACCATATGACCCCTTTAAATAAAACCACTTCTCATAAAGAACAAGAGCATGGTCTTCTTTTTAATGAAATACCAATGGCTATATAGGCTAATTATGCATTCTTTATAGCAGCTTGTTTACAATATTCTTCATTCTTTCAAGCAGACATATTTATTTCTATAAATACATTTAGATTAATCTTTAGGGCTACTAAAGTTTTTCAGTCAAGAGCAGTGCGTGATTAAAACCGAATGCACAGCTGCAATGGATGCAATGTACTGATACACGTTCTCCCTACTGTTTACGTTCACTTAAGACGTAATCAACTGTGTTTACGTGAATACTTGTCAAAACAGACAATTCGACAATTTTGTGTGTAATTCTCCGCTCATGCGACACAAAGGTGTACTCGCACGCTGTGAGATGCGCTTTCAGTTTGTGTAGTATGCTTCAGTGTATGTGCCAGGTCTGTGCTCAGAAAACCGGACCGAATTGAGTTCTCTCTTGCGACTTTAGATTTATCCATATGTCTTCTCTTCTCTTACTCCCACATATTGACATTTTTGAATGTTTTATGCAACGTGCAGGAAGTGTATGTTTGTTAGCTTATGTCCCGCCGGTTCATATGTACGCATCTAACCTCCGAACCACGCAGCAGATTCGTTCTGAAATTGAATGAATCTCTTCCCAAATCGTCCCTCCCTAACATTTTCATCTCGTTTTTATTCGTTGACGAAAATGTCAATAGATTTACGTCATAGTTTTTGTCATTCAAATAGAGTTTCAGTTTGTGTAGTATGCTTCAGTGTATGTGCCAGGTCTGTGCTCAGAAAACCGGACCGAATTGAGTTCTCTCTTGCGACTTTAGATTTATCCATATGTCTTCTCTTCTCTTACTCCCACATATTGACATTTTTGAATGTTTTATGCAACGTGCAGCAAGTGTATGTTTGTTAGCTTATGTCCCGCCGGTTCATATGTACGCATCTAACCTCCGAACCACGCAGCAGATTCGTTCTGAAATTGAATGAATCTCTTCCCAAATCGTCCCTCCCTAACATTTTCATCTCGTTTTTATTCGTTGACGAAAATGTCAATAGATTTACGTCATAGTTTTTGTCATTCAAATAGACTTTTAGTTTGTTATCGTCTGGTCGTTGGTGAAAAAAATTTAGTTGACAAATTATTCGTCAACGAAATTAACACTACTAGACACGCACCCAAAAGGGCACTGGACAATTTGTGCCTTCACTGGCTTATAGAAGTGTAGAAAAAAAATACTTTTCAATTAAACAGGGTAAAACAAGCTAAGATAATATTTCACAGTGTGTAACAGATGCTGATAATACACTTGTAACTTGTTTTTGGCTTGTAGGGGAGATTGGACATTGGACCCACAATGGGACTTTTGCCACACCTATCAAGAAAGTGATGGTTAGTTTAGTTTCTTGGCTCAACATTAAGCTGTAAGAATAACAGGTGAATTGATACAGTGTTGTGTTGTTACAAAAAAATCTGTGGGAGACAAGCTGCCTAATGTCTTTTCCTAAAGACAGACATAGTGTAAAGGGCACATTAGTATAGCTCAAAGTCATGAACATGATTCCCAGCAAATGCATAGACAGATAATATGTATACTTTGAGTGCAATGTAAGACACTTTTGATAAAAATCACCTACCAAGTGCAATTATTGTCTGCTGCAAGTAAAACATGTTCCTGGATCAACATCTTTGTTGAACAGCATTCATGTGAAAGAAACATACTCCTAATCTGAACCCTAACCCAAACCCTAACAGTAACCTACCCATAAAATCAAATGATAGGTTGACAAGAATGGTCTATAAGCCCCTAACCATAGCTCTAAGCTAGACCATGGCATTAGCCCTCATCCTAACCCTAAAAAAATCTGATTGGTTCAGAGGAATGTTGTACCAGAACTAATAAGGATGTTGATTTAGGAACATGTTCCACTTGTAATAAATTTGAAGACACAGGAAAGTCAGGGCTAACCATACAAGGATGTGCCCCAAATTGCCCCATGCCCATTCAAGAGGATGACCCTACAAAATTAGTGAATCAATAATCAGAAACAAACTACACTGCATAAAGTCCTTCACATTTACTAACCACAGCAGTAAACCTGAGGCAGACTCCTGGAAAGCTTAATAATAAAAATCCAAACCGGTGTGCAGCAGCAGTGAGTCCAAAATTATCTCTGATGAGTAGGCAAACACACATATACAGTACACTGACCAACACACAAATGAGGAGCAGTTTGAGTCAATAAAACATGCAAGGATCTGAAATAGGTCAGCACTAATCACATTTTTACCTTGTGCTTACAATGGCAGCTGCTCACTGTTGCGTGACTGCAGATACACTGGCACAGAATCAAAATACAAATTATAATTGTATAATATTTGTCAAGTGCAGAGACACATTTCACAAACAGACAGTACCTCTGCAAGCTGTGATAGAATAAACTGATAACCAGGAGTGATCAACTTCAAAGTGAATGTTAACACGTCACACTTGGTCACAAGACATGCGAGAGAGAGCAATCACTGGTATATGACCTGATGTAATGCCTCTCAAGGTGACATATTTTGAATGAGTTGGAGATTTGGATGGTGAAGGGGATGATTAAAAGTAAATAAAAACTAATATTTCAGTTTGTTGCTCACATTGCATAGCTTTGTGTTTGCTGGTGCAGGATAAAAGTCACTAAATTTGCTGATTTTCTGAGTTAGTGCTGGCTGCAGATAGTCTTAATCGTTGGAGATCCATGTTGATAATGAAAAAGATGCATTGGGATCAGCATTTATAGACATTCTGAACTCTACTTGGGTCAGACAACAAGTGTCGTAATCATACTTTAGATTTAATACCGTCACATGATGGAATTTATGTTAATGGAATTGAAATTCTGCAGCAGAGTGATGATATCTTGAATCATTATCTAGTCTTGTGTATACTCCATATAGCTAAAGCTGCAAACTCAACTAAATATATGGTAGAACCATCACTTCTACAACAAAAGACTGCTTTGTAAAAAATATTCCTGACTTGTCTCAATTCCTCAGCAAATCCAATAGCTCAGAAAACTTGATATTGTAACAGAAACTATGGACTCTCTGCTCCTTTACTCCTTTACGCTTAAAGAAGATTAAGCAAAAACAGTCTGACACCGTGGTACAATGGGCACACTCGTGCCTGCAGCCCGGAAGCCCGGAAAATGGAGTGCAAATAGAAGAAAACAAAAGTAGAGGTATTTTGTATTGCATGGAGCGAAAGTAATTCTACATATAGAAAAGCTCTAAAACTGCTAGATCTGCTTGCTTTTAATCTTTTTAGAAGAAAATAAACACAACCCCAGGCATTTATTCAATACAGTGGCTAAATTGATGACAAATAAAGCATCAACAGTCACAGACATTTCCCAACAGCACAGCGGTTATGACTTTATGAACTTACTGCCAAGATCGATACTATTAGAGATAAAATTCTAACCATGCAGCCATCAGCTACAGGATCGCATCAGATGTGCACTATAGGTGTCACGCCCATGAACTGTTTTGTTTGTTTTCCTCCCCCACGTGCTCCATGTTCTCCCTGTGACATAGTTTATCCCTTGTGTTAATAATGTTTATTCGTTCCAGGTGTGTCTTGTAACCTTCCTAGTTTAGTTCATAGTATTTATGCCCTGTGTTTTCCTTTGTCCAGCGTCTAGTATTAAAAGTCTAATCTCCTGTGCTTCATGTGTGATCCCTTGTTTGAAGTATTAAAGATTGTTTCTTTGTCGATACTCCTACATCTCCTTGCTCCTTCACTCCTCGTTCCTACACAGCAGCTGCTGCGTGACCGAACACTAGACCTGCAAACAGTGATGGAAACCGCCGCAAGATTCGCCGCCCTAGCCCATAGGAATTCGCCGGGAAATACTGCGGGCTCACGGCGCCTAGTTTAGTTCATAGTATTTATGCCCTGTGTTTTCCTTTGTCCAGCGTCTAGTATTAAAAGTCTAATCTCCTGTGCTTCATGTGTGATCCCTTGTTTGAAGTATTAAAGATTGTTTCTTTGTCGATACTCCTACATCTCCTTGCTCCTTCACTCCTCGTTCCTACACAGCAGCTGCTGCGTGACAGAACACTAGACCTGCAAACAGTGATAGAAACCGCCGCAAGATTCGCCGCCCTAGCCCATAGGAATTCGCCGGGAAATACTGCGGCGATGACGGCATTGGAAGATGACATGCTGAATTCCCTGTTCTGGATGGGGGCCAACTACCATCACCCTGTGGACCTACTAGACACCACTGGACTGAGCTGGAGAGTGTCCGGCCCCGATTCAGAACCAGCCCGCCGGCCGCTCCATTGTCAAGCCTGCCAGCCTCTCCATTGTCAAGCCCGCCAACTGTTCCATTGTCAAGCCGCCGGCCAATTCACTCCCAAGTCCTCAGCTGACAGATGCCCGCTCCTTAACCCCAAATCAGACGAGGAATATGCAGAGGAAAAGATTGTTGGCTCCAGCCCCTGAGTCTGCTCCAGTGTCGGCTCCAGCCCCTGAGTCTGCTCCAGTGTCGGCTCCAGCCCCCGAGTCTGCTCCAGAGTCGGCTCCAGCCCCCAAGTCAGCCCCAGAGACGGCTCCTGTCCCGCTCCAGTGTCGGCTCCAGCCCCTGAGTCTGCTCCAGTGTCGGCTCCAGCCCCTGAGTCTGCTCCAGTGTCGGCTCCAGCCCCTGAGTCTGCTCCAGTGTCGGCTCCAGCCCCTGAGTACGCTCCAGAAAGGGCTCCAGTTCCCAAGTCAAGCCCAGAGAAAGACTCCGTTCCCAAATTAAGCCCAGAGGGGACTCCTGCTCCCAAGTTAAACCCAGAGAGGGCTCCTGTTCCCATGTCCAGCCCAGAGAGGGCTCCCGTTCCCATGTCAAGCCCAGAGAGGGCTCCCGTTCCCAAGTTAAGCCCAGAGAGGACTCCCGTTCCCAAGTTAAGCCCAGAGAGGACTCCGGTTCCCACGTTAAGCCCAGAGAAAGCTCCTGTTCCCAAGTTAAGCCCAGGGAGGGCTCCTGTTCCCAAGTTAAGCTCAGGGAGGGCTCCCGTTCCCATATCCAGCTCAGAGAGGGCTCCAGTTCCTATGTCCAGCCCAGAGAGAGACCCTTTTCCCAAGTCCAGCCCAGAGAGGGCTCCTGTTCCCAAGTCCAGTCCAGAGAGGGCCACAGTTCCCGAGTCAGGCCCACGGAGGGCCTCAGAACCCGAAATTTCCAACAAGGAATTTTTGGGGGGTGGGGGGCTATAGCGATGTTCTCACCAGCAAATCTTACCTGACTCCCGATAAAATAAAACGGGTGAGTCTTCTGGGCCTCTGCTTCCCTCGCTATGCTTACTAAATAACCCAAGTATGAGCTAAAAAATAAATCCACTATCCGTTACTGATTAGAAAAAATAAAATAGAAATAACAACAAAGAACACTAAATACCAGATTACCCAAAGAATCAACAAATGCATAAAAACACAAATTAAACTATAACAAAATAGACTGAATGGCTCCAGGAAAGCAAAGAGAGAGGCAACCGTGAGGAACAATTAGAATGAGAGAGAGACACGCCATTGTCAACACAACGCCTATTTATCAGGAATCCCAGATGATGTCACAGAGCTCCCACGAGTTAAAAATTCCCTCTTAACGCCACTTAGGGACTCAGAATAAAAGTTACACAGATGCACGTAACAGTTAATAACCACTCCATGTTTGTTCTTAGATATTTGCAGAATTCAGTTGCATATCTTGGATCTGAGTTCTACACAGCATTGGACACGCACTCTGCACTTTTGAAAGTTAAAGTTGATTAAAAGGTATTCCTTTATCATGTTGACTGCTGTCATCTTTAAATTATTATTAGCATATTATTGATGCTCTCAGCATTATTCCCTGATATCTACTTTTAATCGGTTAAACCTATTTAGACTGTCATTTTTACATGTTGTGTGTATTATTAATGTGTATTGTACCTTACTAAAATAAATAAATAGTCTCTTCTTTTTCATAGCCATCTGATGTTTACACCGCGGTATTTCAGGGTCTTCCAGTCATCTTGGAGGATGACCCAGAGGAATTTTACAGGATGTGCTTTGTAAGTATTGTTATTGATGCTTCTGCTCTTATTATCATAATTTTGTTTGCAATTTTGCAGTAGATACTATATTTGTCTCGTGAAACAATTCTGATTTTTAAAATTGTTGTTTTAAATGCATTGATAAAATTGTGTTGACTGATCACAAACTTGTCAGCATTACACACTTTGAATTAAGATAAAAATCATGTAAATGATGGGTGTAATCCATGCAGTAGGCCAACAAAACTGGATTTAAAGGAATAATTCAAGCAAAAATGATAAAACACTTTTATGCTCTGTCTTCTGAAACGTGTTCTATTTTGTAACTCTTATACTATAAACCTCATTATCTCTCTTTGGTGATCATAATTTAAAGCTTGATTACATTTCTTTGTGCATGATGTTTGTGCAGATCACTGTACACTCACTCTGATCATCAATATGAATCAAGCACAAAGAAGTTGCTTAAAGTAAAAGCATTTTTGTAAAGTAAAAGCATTTTTGACAACAGCCCTTGGTCACTGTTTTTTTTAGAATGTTTCCAGTATTGAAATGAAGAAATATAAACCTTTAAATTTGTTTTACAAAAGTAAAGCAATCTTTTTCCAAACTTTTTTTTTTAAGTAAACTGAACTTGTTAGAATTTACAGTGTATCTGTACCATGTATCTGTCTATTCATCCATCTCTGTGCCTTTATATTTCTATCCATTTGTTTGTCTATTTTAATATTTTCTCTCTCAACGCTAAATTATCAGCAGCCATTACTCCAGTCATAGGCGCCGATCCCGTGCATGCCCGAGCACCCACGGAAAAATGCCAGATATGCGCCATTAATTTGAACCAAGTTATAGCTTAGTGTGTGTGCATAGTATTTCTTATAGAAGCTGTCGATATGCTTAATTTAAATTTCTTGTGATTTAAGCTCCGTTTTTGTAACTGAAGATATGGAGAAATGTGAA